GGGCGGGTAGCTAAGCAGATGCTTTTCCTAGGAAGCTCTCTGCTTGGATCTATTCACATTCCTTCAGTGCCTGATGATATTTCTGTACATAAACATAGCTGTAGTGGAACTTCATTTCCCTCAGCTACAAAGATAAGGTAAAATGCATTCAAAAGGAGTGGGAGCGTAAAATGAGGTAGGCAGAGGATTAAATGTTGCACCTGGTCTTCTGCATAAAGGGTATGGTATTAGCAAAATGGTATTAGCAAACATGATGCAAATACATGGATTGCCACATCATCCAGTCAAAAAAACAAAGCTAATTTCTAATTGAGTTTCTAACATTATTTTCTTGAGAAATTACTGAATCTCTTGATTGAATGTCTGCTTCAAGCTGTCTGGAAACTCAGCAGGAGTTGGTGAGTTCTCTTACTCATCCCACATGTTCTAACCTGAAAGCTCGCCTAAAGATAATACTTTAAGACCTTGTAACTGGCTCATTTCAGCATCATTAGGGTAAAGTGGATACAGCACAAACAGCCACTTGTCACATTCTGTTGGGTTTTTTCCCCAAATACACCTGCCTTCACGAGTTGCCTCCCAGTTACCCTCTCTCCTCCCCTGAAGAGTCTCACATCTTGGCACTTCTCCAAAGACCTGTCTGCTAGATAACCGCTGGCAAGCATTAGGTTTCCTATATGCTTCCTCTAATGGAACTTTTCTTTCCCATTACAGACTTTTTAAACCCTTTAAAGACATTTGAGGCAGGCTTCAAGTAAATTGAAGAAAATGCTACACCATCTTGTGCAGGGGAGAGGCAGTGAGCTGATAATGTGTGCACCTGCTTCAGAATTCCTCTGATGTCCTCTATTGGATTTAAGCATAGTAGAAACAGGCATTTTCTAGCAGCTTTGGTTCTGCGTAAAGGTGTTTTACTGACACCTCCACCCCCCCACCTTACAGAGTAGCATATCCTTGACCTTAACTTCACAGACAAATGACAGACTAGAATATCCCGAGTACGCTGAACAACAATTTAGAGGCATTTGTTGTCAGAAACAGCGTAAAACATTGTGCTTTAGATTTGTATTTCTGGCCTGCAGGGTTCAGACTCTCGGTGTCCATGGTGTCAAGAAGCCTTGCCTCCTACCTTAGTTTTTGTCTGAAGCTGGAGTTCTTCCCTAATGGTTTCTTAAATTTTCAGTCTTGTTAAACTAACCCTGTGAGGGTGAACGCAGAAG